AGGATCCCGAACTCCACAATCTTGTGATCACTGCAGCCAACGCTGTCACTAACCGAGATGCTACGACAGAGAAAGTCCATCTACAAGATGGTCATTTCAGTGGCAGAGGATGCCTGTAATTCTCAGCTCCATCAGTCAAGAGGAGCAAGAGCTGTCTGCTCAAGGGGGTTGACAGTGCACTGGAATATTCATTCATAGGTTCAGAGATCCTGTTAGGCAGCTTCCACTAGCAAAGTGCCTGGGGTAGATGGGGCTAACCCCCCAACAGACTGCTTGGTGAGGCTGTCAGTGGCAGCACTGAGTGTTTCTATGGAGAGGGGAGGGGAGAACCAGCCACAGCTGTGTGTGGCAATGATAATATTTCAGTTAGAAGGATAAGTAGGGACAGGGATTTTTTCTGGCTTTGACTTTGAAAGATGCTATCAAATCTTGTAACACAAGCTGCTGTTAGGTGATTTGTAGGGTACTGGCGGATAGATAGCTCTGATCAAGAGAAACAGAAGCTATTTATCTGTGCATTTGTGTAGTGAGATGGGAATAAAACCTTGGATGGAAAGTAAAGGAGAAGGGCATATCCTTTGTACTTCTTGCAGCAAAAGTACTGCAGTTGGTTGCTCCCCTTCTGCCCAGCTTCCCTTTGAACCTGCCACAAGTATAAGGCACCACCATCAAAACTGGAAGATGTTAATGAAGATTCAGAAAACTGATGCAAAGTTTAGGGTGGAAAATAGGACATTCCAACAGCCAGGGGTGAATCACTTGTAATGCTGGTGGGCAGCATGGGTTGGCAGCCTCGGAGATAAGAGCACTGAGAGTTGAGAAGAGAATGGAGTAAACTCAACGGTTGCCTCCACGCTCGCCACCTGGCCCTGTGTCGCTTGCCAGCTTTTCTGCAGGCAGTGGACACACTCCTTCTGCCTGTCCCCAGCCTTCTGTTCCCTCACCCCCACTCTCCTCTGGAGCCTTCTAGCTGTTTCTGGACTCCCTACCAGGCAGTTCAAGCTACTTATTCGCCCAGGGCTGGCAGACCTCTTCTGCTTCTTTGTGTAAAGCATAGAGCCAGACCTGGCAGATGGCAATGGTGAGAGGAAACAGAAAAGAGGTCAGTCACAGTGTGCCGCAACCAAGCTGTCTCAGGTGTTCTTTTTTAAAATAGGAACTTACCGTTGTGGTAAAGGAGCTCACTCTGTGGGACACAAACTACCCTGCAGAGAAATGCAATGTGTCGTCATAAATGAAGAGTACAGGACAAGTTACAGGGATCCCCAAATCTGCCAAAGCAGCATTTTTTTCTTTGAGACCTGATTCTGAAAGAGAGTAGTTGCATACTTTGCTATATGCAGTTTAGGAAGCTGATGCGGAGTACTTCTTAAGAAAGAAAGAATTCCTGTTACAGTTGAAGAAAGTAATGCGATTCAATTCTAAATATTTTAAATTCCTAATATAAAATAATTCTTCATGGAGTCAGCCAGGGGAAAGAAATGGTCAGTGCATCCATGCTGATAGGTTTCTTGAAACTGGAAACTGAGTGATAACTAGTCTTCCTTAGCCCAATTCTACCAGATCTCTCTCTGAAAGAGGTAGGCAGCCAATTTTAACATTGGTGATAGACTTTGACTGACACCTGCTTTTCTTTGATTTTGCCAATTATTAGGGGGTCAAAGATGGTTAATTCTTCAAAGAGTTTCAGCAACCATTCTATGAAAAAAGTTTTCCCTATTGCGGATGCTTCCGAGGGTGATGTAAAGAATATGCACGGTACAATGAGTCATATCAAATTCCTGATACATCCTGAAGTACTCTGTACTAATGGCCTCACTTGAGAATGGATCTGCTATAAACTGATATGATGGACACATGCTTTGGTAGTTTTCCAGGTATTATCGCCGTTCTGGTACCAGGGCTGTTCTCAGGGACGTAAAAATAAAATTATAAGAAGAGTTAAAAGAATTTACGAGAACAAAAAGAAGAGAGAAAAACACCTTTCTTTTGTCTAACATCTTTTTTTCATGTTTCTTTTTGTTTAACTCTGTGTTCTTTAGAAAGTGGATGTCACCAGCAGGGCAGTTATGGAAATAATGGCAAAGACAATAGAGTATCTTCAGCCTAATCCAGGTAATGTAATTTCACAGTACTTGCAGCACTCTTTGAAAATACTCTTTGTCACCAATATATAGTCTGATGGGTCTCGTCCTCACTGGTGCAGTTAAGATTAATAGAAAATTGGTGAAGTTACTGTGAAGTGAAAGACAGAGGTGAGTACAGGCTTCTGTGTTAGGCTGTCAGGGGGAATGGAGACTGGCTTTGGGAGGCTTGTTTTCCTTTTGTGTGTTCTTGCTTTAGGTAAGGGGACAGCATATGCCTAGACACCAGGTGTATTTACTTGCAGGCATCTGACTGTCAGCACTGTGAGCATGGGGGGGCTCCCTGGGAGCTGGAGAAGGCTGCGGAACTCTCCAGGGGTGGTAGGGCAAGGGCTGGCAGCCAGGACTCATCCCACTGCTCCAGCCAGGAGCGGGGCAGCCAGGGGGCACTGGGGCGGCAGCAGCTCTGGGCATCGGGCACCTCCCTGGGTATGGAGACGACTGAGGCCAGGCAGTCAGCCCACAGGTGCGGATCTGGATCAGACACAGTGAGGATGTCTGCGTGAGACATCTCTTTCTTCTGCAGTCCCAGTCGTTCACCCTGTGTGAGGGAAAAGAACCAGGCAGGCCTTGCAGACCATGGGAAGAAGGACAGAGCTCTGAAGCAACGTCCTCCAGGGCACAGGAAGAGATGTAGCACCACCTTTCACCTGGTCCTCTAGCAATTTCCGATCCTCGTCAGAGTTATTTCGAAAGAGAGGGTACAAAAGAGCTGTTGATGCCGAACTGGAGAAAAGGGCAGATAAACGGACGTGATCAGAGATGACTAAATTGAACCTTCAAAATAGAAATAAATTATTGGTTTCCATGGGGAGATGGAAGAAAGGTTTTGTGATTAGGCTGATGAATTGCTGCGTGCCTCTCTCTTGCCAAAGGATCCTCACAAGGAGGGGTGATCTGGAGCTGTTACAATCAAGGAAACCATTAAATTTAAGAACTTTAGATTCTCATAGTGATCTAGGAACGTAAGGGATTTGATACTAGTGTAAGTCAATGCCGGATTCACTGGTAAGGTCAATGGAGTTATGCTTGTGCAAAATTAGTGTGAAGGTAAAATGAAGCCCTCCATCATCCCTAAGTATCTTAGAGTTTCATGGAGGTACAGAACAAATTCACTCATTCTCTGTGAGGAAAATGTTTCCTAGTAGCTGGGAACAAATTCGAACTGGGGTGAAATATTTTAACACCAATGTGGTAGGATGAAGGACTGTTGCTGGTATAGCTTAATTGGTGATATTTTTATGTTAGACCACAGAGGAAAGTAGGATAATTTGATGATGCTGCCAGTGGATTAAAAAAAGGAGGAATAACATTTACAAGTGCAAGAACTGCTAGAGAGAAAATAATGATGACTAGAACGGTTTCTATGTCAACAGATGAAATACTGTTTATGACTTGAGTCCACAGCTTCATTTCTCATTGTCAACAAGCACCCTGCAGGAGAAGCAATAGGATTGACAAACATTATGGAGCTAGTGATAAAGTTGTTAACTACTGTCAAGCTGCTGTTGTGCAACATCGTATAGACTGAGTAATAAGCTTTGGCTGTTTAGTGCTTCTCTGGCTGCCTTACTGACACATCTGAGTGATTATGATTGCTGTGAATCAGGATGCTCACAGCAAGGGCAGAGAGCGAAGTTTCTGGAAGTAGCTAAGGGTGTGATTTCAGGCACCTTTCGTCTGCTTGTGGCATGTGCAAGTAGGATCAGAAAATTAAAAATGTAATAGGCAGGAGGAAGATTTACTTTCTTGCATATCAAGTGAAATCAAATTATTCATTTCACAGCTGGGTAATGGTAGCAGATGGAGTAAGAGGAAAGGAGGACTGACTCTTTTCAGCTGTCGCCTGATCTTGGGTTGGTTTATGCCAATTGCAAAAAGGCTCCCTGTAATGAGAATTTCGTGGAAAATTAGTTCTTTTTTTCAATAAAATAAAAAATTGCCTCTTTAAAATTCTCCATACAACTATATTACTATTTACCTGGGGCACCAACAATGCTGATTTCCAGTATTTCCTGTTTGCTTTCTCATTTTCATAAAAAAATAGAAACATTACATTGGGAAAAAGGGGAAATTTAGTGAAAAAAAAATTCTTTAACAGCAATATTTAACAGAATATTTTCTTTAAAAGTTTAAGAGGGTTTGGGATGTAGCATGCATTCCTTGATAAGTAATAATGTGCTCTGAAAACCTCAATGTGCTTGGATAACAGTTCTGCAGTGCTAGAGATCAGTTGGCTTCACAGTGTTTTGAAGGATCAATAAATGAAGTATGCAGCATTGTCTAACTTCACTAAACAATTAATTAATACTGGAAGGAAAAAGAAAATGGAAATGGAAATGGAAATGGAAATGGAAATGGAAATGGAAATGGAAATGGAAATGGAAATGGAAAACAAAAAGGAAAAGGAAAAAAGGAAAAAAAAAAAAAGAAATGGGAATGGAAGGGAAGAGAAAAGGATCTTAAAGACAAAGGTGAATTTATTGAAAGAGATGTTGGGCTGAGGTTAGTGTGAATAAAAAAGCTTTTTAGATTTCTCGGTCATGAAAAAAACAAAGGAAAGCTGAAAATAACTAAAATGGAACATGATGAAGGCTCACAGACTTTCTGTGCAGATGTGCATGACCATGATTTCAAGAAAAAGAGGTGTGGGATGAACAAGATTGAAAGTACAAAGAATGAGCAATTGAATCCACTGTTGAAGCTTCTTTTGAACTCTTTTGGCAGTATTCTTATGGTTTGCCGTGGCTCTGTTAACACTAATATTAAGGTGAATCATTAGTGACACCATGAAAGTCAACGTAAAGGAGAGAGAGAGCAACTGGAAAAAGAGCCAAGTGTTCAGGTCACTTCCATGTGGTGTTTTGTGCATCTCTGCCTGTCCTCACTCAGGTTGAAACATAACTTAGAGAAAAAGGCTTGTGGCACTGACACAGTAAAGCAGCAGAAATGAAAGGGCTCAGGATGGGATTTTGAGATTGACTGAGCACAAACCTACCTCTGCTCCCATTGAAGTTAGTGGGATCAACTTCAAAAGGAAAAAGTGGAATGAGACCACTGGTGGATGTATTCTAAGATTTCCTACTAAATCAGGATTCTAATGTAATCGTTATTAAATGATTAAATGAATCCCTGAAGCATGAATTTTTCATGCTTACCTTTCTTCTCTTTATGATTCGTTTCTTGCGTTTCACTTATTGTCCTTTTCATCTCTTTTTCTTTCCTTTTGCTTTCTACTCTTACCTGCCTGTCCAGAATATAGCCACTTGGTTTTTTTTTTATATTCCCTCTTACATTTGTTTTCTTTTATTTCTGAGAATACTCCTATTTGTTCCTGTTTTAATTCAGCTTGCTGCCTCCATTACCCTGACTGATTTGTTTGTGCCTTAGTTTCTTTTGTGCTTCTGTATTTTCCCATCACTGTGTTTAAAGGCCAGACACTTCGTTAAAATGCAGTTTCTTACACTGAAGAGTCAGCCAGTCTGCTGTAGTTTTGTAGTCAGTAAAAACAAAGTATGGAGAAATTCAGATGCTGAAAAGCATGATTAGTGGCACTCAGGGGCAGTGAGAAAGCTTACAAAAACATAATTACTATATGTTAAAAATATGTTATCCTTTCACAGCTGCTTCTCAGGCAAAATAAGTACTCTGATGCTTGCCTGATTTTCCTGTGTTTCTGTGTCTATGTCTGTGCCTACATTTGTACACCACAAAGTGAATCACATTCAGCAGCAAGAACCATTTATTTATATGCACTTTCAACAATAAATTAAGAGCAAAACACTTGTTGACTCCAGTCTGCCAATGTTTTGTTTTGTTGCAGAAACGTGTGCCAGGTTGAGTTTTGACCAATGAAATCAGTACACAACAGTGTGACCTACTAACATTCTGTAAACAGAAGTACTAACTCATAAGAGCAACTAACAAAGTCAAACCTTTGCGAGGAGGAAGGTGGAGACATTCATAGCTGCCCATCTGTAGCACACACAATAATGTAGGTAGAGACATCCACTGAGTCAGCTTTGTTGGCAATAGGATTTAGCTGGCAAAATTTAAAGTCAAGTGCCATTAATTAATTCACTCTCTGCAGGCCATTCACAATCTGCAGTTGCAAAAATTCACTGAAACACATCATCAAACAAATTAGTTCTTTTATGTTTGCTGTCTTTGTTTTCATCAATTATGATAATTGTCAGCTTTCTTCTGATCTGCAGTTGTGTAACTGAAATAAAGTACAAGCTAAAATACCGTTGAAAAATGTATTTAAGTAGGAGTTACCCAAAGCCCCATAAAAGCAACAAGTTTTTATGTAATTTTCTACAATAGAAAGAGGTTCAAACATTTAAAAAATGTGGGCATTACAGTTTAATCTTGAGGGTGCCTAGTCTGGATTTTCCTTGAGAGGAAGGCTTGCTCAATCTGCTGTCCATCTGGTACTGGAGGATTTTAAGATTAAGAATATGGGAGTAGCTTAAAGCGTTTTCTACCTGAGTTGTAGCATGTGTCAGACATGCTATCCTGGGAGTGTTCCTGGCCTTTCTTCTGTCCAAGTCATTTCAAGGGAAGCTTTGACTTAAAGTTCAGGACTGAACCTCCTCTCTGGCCTACCAACAGAAGAAAAAAGTCAGTGAACAGCAACATTTTGTACCTTTGCTTTAAAAATAATTGATGAAAAACAGGGCTTAGTCCTAAACTTAGATAATGTCCTTCAAATACATTGTAGGTAGCTCTGATAAATTTAGAGAGTGCATTCCTGTTTCCATAGTCAAACTATTCCACGTTTGTAACCTCTGTCACTTGCCTGCTTCAGCTTCCAGGGCTAAACTCAGCATGATCAACACTATGTCAAAAATTCGAGGCCAGGAAAAGGGACCAGGTTACCCTCAGGCTGAAGCCTTGCTGGCAGATGCGATGTTGAAATTTGGCCGAGAACTTGGAGAAGAATGCAACTTCGGTAACTTGATTACTTCCCTTTCCTTTATAATGCAATAAAAATGGAAGAAAAATTTAATATAGAGTTCATTATCAAAGTGTTGTGCTCTTGTAAAGGAAGAACTTCTGTAAGAAGCATCAGAGTTCTGCTTCATAAGATTTCTCCTTTAAGGTCAGTCTAGGCCTGTTGAGTATCTTTTGCGGGTTTGGATTAGAGATTTTTTTCTTGTGGATGAAAGTCAGATTGTTTCCCTTTGGACCTATATCCATATAGACTTTAAGCTCTCTGTCATAGATTATGTTACTGGGGATGTGTTGAGATGAAAGATATACATGTTCAGAAATCATATTATTGTCTATGCATGTGTACAGTAAAACCCTTTTGTCCTCAGAATCCTTATAATAAATGTTATTGTCTTCATTACAGGCAAGGAGTAAAGGCTAATAGATTTTTAATAGACTTCGACCTTTTTTTCTGACCAAATTCAACATTTTAAGTCGGTAGTGAATAATCCTGTCTTATTTGTCAACCACTCCTCCCTCCAAACCCCAAATGAGTTTACAGCTGCCTGAGTTAGAAATGTTAAACTGAGATTTAACATGGTGTTCTTCAACAGTAGAGGTGCAACTAAGAGAGATGACATTCATGACAGGATCCTTTGTCTTTCTGTCCTATTTGTGTGGGCTTTTCTGTGGCCATTTTTATATGACAATACACAGGACCATCAAATAGGGCTGTGAAAATTCTATTTCCTGTTTGAATCTTCATAAAATGTTCCTGGCAAAAAGACATCTGCAATGGGAAAGGTACTTTCTTGTTTGTTTTATGAATTTAGTAGCTAGCTTGGCAGATGTATGTTGATTTGTGCTGAAGACTACTGAACTGTTTTTTTTTTCATTGGTTGCCTCTCATTCACTAAATTTCAAACACATTTTTAAAGGGAAAACGAGGAACTAATAGAATTTAGTTTGTGCAAATTGCTGTATATTCCCTGATGATTGCAGTAGCATCCAGCAGAACAGATACAGCAATTATTTTCACATTCTTAACTAATAGAAGCTATTATGGCTGTTTGTCATTCTTCGTCTGGGTCTGGCAGGCTCTCTAGTTTTGCAGTGCATTGCTGGCATCCCCCGCTTGGGAGACAAAGCTTCTTCTGATTTCTCATATTTTTAGGTTTTCAGACCCTTTGTATTCTTTGAAAGTGGATTTTTTTTCCACCAACCTACACCTCAAATCAGGAGGTTATTTTTGTGCTTCTTGCTTTTAGTTTTATGCAGAGGAAAACTTGAGTAGGTGTGTGAAGTCGATAGTTTAATAAAAAAAAAATCATTAAAAAAATCTATGAAATTGTTACGAATTTTTACATTTGATACTGTCACTGTTAAGATGCAAACAGGGAGACCTAGACTTGTGTTAGAGCTGGTTTTGTATGCAGTCTAGTGTCTGGTGATGGCAACACTGGAGCAAATACAGATAGTTCTTTTCTAGCATTTTTGTTTCACTGGAGTGAGAAATGAACGGACAATGAGGGGAGTGGAGGAGGCTGTCTTGACACAGCGTGGATTTCAAGTTCGACTGTGTTACAAAGCATAAACTCTGGGGGCTGCAGAAGTATAAAATCCATGTTGCCCTTTCACACAGTGCATCATACTCTGTTTCTTTGCTAAACTTGAGACTTAAAATGAAACGTTAAGTGAAATTTCCATGACTCAGTCTCGTTCTACAGTGATTTGGAACCAAGGTATTTTGAGATGAACTGGACGCATTTTCTTTCAGGACCAGCGCTTGCAGATGTGGGAGAAGCTATGAAGGAGCTTTCTGAGGTCAAGGACTCTTTAGACATGGAAGTGAAACAAAACTTCATTGACCCACTTCAGAATCTCCATGACAAAGATCTGAGAGAAATACAGGTATTGCCTTCAATGTGGCATTTTAATAATGCCAAATGTGCACGCTGCGTGTATGTTCAAAATTTATGTTAGCTGTGTAGCTTAAAACAGACTTACAGATTCTCAGAGGGTCTAATTTGAGTCTCCTTTGGCTTGAGTTTTACTTCTCAGTTCTGTCTCTCTTGTTGATCGTTTAGAAAGGGAAAGATCAAAATTCAAACATTTTTTGATGGTAACATCAGGCTTATGCAGGCATGAGCATAGTACTCTGATCCTACTGTTTGAAAGCTTTTTTCACTTAATAGATGAACAGATGTTTACATTCGATTTTCCAGTATGTGACATGTGATGGTGTTTCAGTAGTTGCCTCTAGACTGGCTCTACTCTTTTGTCTGTATGAAGACTGTGTCTGAAACATTCCCAGAAATTATGAACACTAACACTGTTTGCTTGCATGCATTACGTAATTAGTAATCCAAGAACGAGCCAGCATTTACACAACCTGATTTTATAACTGTGGAAGTAAAAGTGCCTTCTGATTCAACAAACACTTATCTGTGTAAGTAACTGTTCTTCTGAGCTCAGTAAGACTTTCATGTTGTTAAATATATGTGAACGAAAGAGATCTTAGGCACTTTGTTGTCATTTACAAAGTTGATAAAGTTATAAATACCATAATAGATGACAAATTGATTCTTCTGAAGCAAGGTAAATGCCTAAAGTATTCATACTCATGCTTGTAGCATTAGCTTTTGGCCAGCTTGGTGTGGCAGCTGCTAAACAGGTTACGTCAGTTAACAAACTAGAAAATCTTTGATAAGAGATAATATTAACATCCTTTGGTGGTCTCATAGAAATGATACAAGGATTTTCTGTGTTGCTTTGTTTGTGAGAACTGTTACACAGGCAAAAACATACTAACTTGTGCTTTTAACAGATCTTTCTCTTAAACATCTAGGGAAAAAACATAGTGTTCAGGTAATTCTGCATCAGAGTTAAAAAGCTAGAAACTTGCGTATCTTTTATCCAGGTGGCAAGTGGCGTTCTGCGTAGCCATTTTTTAATGTTGAAGTACTGTCATTTATACAGCAGTGCACTGTGGCCTCTTAAATGGGAAATAAAACCACCTACTTCGTTGTTCTGTATTTCTCCCCTCTGGGGAAGGGTCAATATACAACAGCACGTGCTTGCAAATGTGTGTGGACTACCTGATTATAATGCCATACAAGGAGACTTGGGGAACATCCTTTATTCTGTGCTTTTGGTTGCCTTTTTGGTTTTAGCATCACCTAAAGAAAATGGAGGGTCGACGCCTGGATTTTGATTACAAAAAGAAAAGACAGGGCAAGCTCCCTGATGAAGAACTTCGCCAAGCTCTGGAGAAATTTGATGAATCAAAAGAGATTGCAGAGTCAAGCATGTTCAACCTTCTGGAGATGGATGTGAGATATCCTTTGTTAATCTTTGAGCTGAATCTTAAAAAGAGAAAGATACTGTAGTCTAAAGCAGTCTGAAGCTTCAAAGCCTTCTTACATTCATGGCGCCACAGATTGCTGTCACTATACAATGGAGAAGCACTTGCCTCCTTGGTGGGCTCAGTGGGAGGCTCAGAAGCTATAGTCAGGTACAGCTTCCACATGTAGGACTAATCTTACAGGTATTTTATAGGTAACGGCGCTAAAACCATGTATCCTCTGTAGCATCATTGTGCTTCCTAACTGCATAGTGTTACTTACAAACCCAAAATATCTTCCTTCTTAGAATTATGTGAATGTAAGTCATGACTTTTACTTAGCTGAGCTTTTTGGGTTTGAGCCAAGGCTTTTGCTCAGGTGTGTGATAGGCTGCTGAGAGGACTGGTAAAGATCAGAGATGATGAACACACAACCTCATGGTCTCTGGTGTAATCAGATGCAATAAGGAATAGAAAAGCCAAAGTTAATGTGACTGCTCAAATCTGACTCTGCAGCATATTTTTAGTTTACAGGCTGGTTTAGAATTGAGCATCTATTAGTTTTTTGTAGTCTTCTATTTATAATTAATGTTGAAACTGTAAAGTCAAGAGAGGAGGAAAATTTGTCTCTTCTGGAGGAAAAAAACATTTCCACTGAAGTCTGCCTTACAGAATATGTGATCAAAGGAAACTCAGTTTAAATATTTCTATTGAAGTAAATGATTGGATTTATTTAAAGTTTTAATACACACCTAATTTAATTCTTCGTTTTGTTACCAGATTGTTGTAGACGGGCCATAACAAACCTGAAAACATTTGCACGTTAAAACCTAAATACAGCTCTACTGAAATGAAAGAAGTATAACAAATTTATAGTTTTAATCCTAGCACTAATATCCAATCCCATGTGGCCAGATAGTGTTGGCTTGCATTATGTTATTCTGGCATTGTGTATTATGGAAACTGCTAGCAATTGCATTGCCCACATAAGAATTTTGGATATTTTTTCCTCATGATGTAGAATGCTGTCTGCCTTCACTACAAATATTCTGCATCCAAGAGTACATAGTATCTTCCTGTTTTGGTCTGCTTCACACGCCGGAATACAGCAAAAGCGTGACCGTAGTCCCTGTGGTTTTGTGCCTGTCAAAGACAGGGAGGAAGAAGGTGTATGATGCTCTCATTGCAGTGCTTGCTGAATGAGGTAGGTCTGTAGGCTGCTGTTTGTGCAAACCAGCCGTGGAGATGACGAGCGAAGAAGAGTGCAGTTACCATTCCAGATCAGGCCGTAAACCAGACGTGGTGACGAATAAAGACTGGTGTGTAACTATTTACCAACGGCAAAGAGGAATCAAGTTTTTAGAGAGGCTGCCTTTGCAGTGCCAGTGTGACAGTGCTCTTTACTCGCTGTTGCTAAGCTGTTAGCACTCACCTAAGATCTGGTGTTTTAATGTCAATCCTCAGATTGAACAAGTGAGCCAGCTTTCTGCTCTTGTGCAAGCCCAGCTGGAGTACCACAAGCAGGCCACACAGATCCTGCAGCGAGTTACTTCTAAGCTGGAAGATAGGTAATGCATTTTTTGTAAGTTTGTCGAATTGTTTTTTTGTTGTTGTTTTACAGAGGCGGAAAACGTATAAGTAGAGTGCAACGCTGTTATCTTTTGCAACTTGGTAACTGGATGTTTATGAAAACAAAGGCCATTTCGTTAGGCAATGGCGAGTTGAGGTTTATACGTTCTGGAGATAGATATACTTCTGACTGGATGAGAACTGAGTTCAGGAAAGCATATCAGCCTAGTTAAGTGTTAAATGTGATTTAACTGAAAGCAAGTGTTTATAAATACTGGAAGTCAGTGGGATTTACAGCTTTGGATTATTTACCATTCCTGCAAATAGTCTTTCTGAGAGAAGATGTTAATGATTGCTGTTGAAAAATAGTATCTTGTTACAGTCTCATCTACCTGAAGATCTTCCTGAGCCAGGTAGTGAGACCCCCGTCATTGGCCGCCTTAATAAATACTCCTTTTTTTCCAGCTTTATTATCAGATCAGACTTGATACAAGGCTTAGCTGAGTTTACCTCTTCCGTCGTCTTTTCCGTAACTGTGAATGCTATCTCAGAATTGATACAATATCTTTCTAATAAAATTTTAGAGTTTTTAGTTTAGGATTTTTGTTTCTATCCACAAAAAACAGATTGTACCCCCTTGAAGTGAGGAAAATAACGTTTGTAAAATTTATCAGGTTCCCACACACATGTCTTTCTTCAAGGAAACTTAACATACAGGAAAGATTTCTTTAGTCCACGTGGTTCTGGAAGACTCTTTCTAGAAGCTGGATGTAATTCCCAAGAGCAGATAATGTTCACCTACTGTTTGAAGGCAGCTTTTAAATCGTGCGTGATTCTTTGCTGTTCTCTGATGTCAGTAGTGTAGATCTAGTTTCTGGTACTACTGGGTATGTTAATGTTTATTTTCTCAGAGCACACAGTCTGTAAACATCATCCAGTTCTAAGTCTTAAAATTTCTTTGCCATTAGGAGCAGCACTTGTTTTGGTACGTAGGCTGCCCAGCAGGCTGTTTCTGGGTACAGTTTGCTGTAACGCCTAATCACCTAACAGAGTGATTTTCAACACTTCCAAATGAATATTGCAATTCACTTACTTTACAGAAGCATTAAAAAATCCTCAGGAGCAGGTGGGTTGTTCTGTAGTCCATAAGTTATACCATAAAGTGAACATACCTCTCTCTGCAACAGATTTCTCTTCCTGTATCAATTCAGATAGTCCTTTTATTGTTTTGAAACTTCTGCTAAATGGTCAGTATGTTTGCTCTAAGTATTAGCTCTGAATGATTCAGGCTGCTATTCTAGATCATCTGAAGTAAATCTTTTGCATAAACTCACTGTGCATCCCTAATTGTAAAGAGTCAGCTGGCTAAATCATCCTTTGTCCACAGCACTGGACACAAATTAGAGCACTGTGATATGCTCTTGCCAGGGATTAAGCAGGAATGTAGAGCTGTTGTCTTTTCCTGCTGGTGATATGCAGATGGCAAAGAATACATGGCTTTGCGTTTTGGAGGTTGTTTTCTTGACCATATGGACCAGAAAATAACTAATGCTTTACTTTTACATTGAGCAAATTTGTTACTGTTTACTCCCAGTGACGTCTAGAGCACATACTGCCCACTTCCTAGATGCTTTTTTAAAAATGTGAGTGAACTTGTTTGTGCTGTTGTTTGGCAGGGACAAACTAACTGCTAAGACTGTCCTGTTTAAAATATTGCCTAAATAACTTTAAAAAAAAAATTGAGGTAGACTGCAAAAATAATGAAAAATTTAAAAATGCACTTGGGTCTTCTATTCTTTCTGGGCCCTTTAGGTTAAGCTTCAAAACTTTCTTCAGGAACTGCAAGTGCGAGAATTTTATTTTTCCTTCTACACATTAATGGAAGGCATAAACTTCCTTAAAATACCATGATTCCAGGAACTGGGACATTAGAAACTTGGCGAACATTAGGAGACTTGCAATAAAATTAATAAAATTTGGAAGGTCAGCAAAGGCTTTTCTTTTTGAACTCTTTTTCATCAAGCAAAAGGAGGCTGCAGTTTTCAAAACAGAGTATCGTGACGGAGCAGCTGGGAAGCAGGAGTGGTTTCCGTGGAGATGTTTCTTTTCTCAAGAAACATGTCTTATGCTGAGCTTTTGGGTAATTTTTAGCAAGTCACTAGAACTGTCGCCTTCTAGTTCATATCTGTAAAAAATGGTGTTTGTTTCACAGAAGTATTTAATGTAATAGAACTTGTTTAAGTATTTCGTTCTTCGAAACTTTACTGTTTTGAAGAAGTAACTTATGTTAATAAGTGAAACAGCAAAGCCTTTTTAAGTTATTTTGACAACTTCATTAATTAGTTTTTTTTCAGTAGGCTGTCGTGGTTTAGCCCAGCTGCCGGCTTATGTTTTTGCTTATCAAGAAGAAAAGCAGTCTCTGGGGACTGACTAATATTGATAATATTTTGGATGATGAGGAAACACTTGTTGTCAGGACCAAAACTCATTAAGTTAGAAGCACATTTTTTCAATAGATAAATCAAAATGTGCTACCAACAGCAAGTCTGGGGCAGATCTAGAGAAGGTTAGAGAAACCAACTTGTCCTTTCAATACAGAAGTTTTGACTCAAGTATTCTTCCATACGCAGTATTAGAAATACATGTGGCAGTTCTGCTTAAGCTGCTCTGATTCTGTCATCATCCACTCCCTGGATTTTACCCTGGAATCTGAAAATGTACCCTTTCATAGAAATTCTAGATTTCTGAATTGGAAGAATAAGTTAAAAAGAATGATGCGTGTTTTTATTTTGAGAGTCAGGAAAACAGGCTTTTTGTGCCTTTGTGAAACAAGTATTCCAATTTACAAATGAACTAAGTCTGCAACTGAAGTCAGTACATTCCCACACAGTCTCCTCACAAAATGACAAGAGCTGGCATCAGCCAACTGAAGTTAAGGCTTGCCAGGGATAGAAGCAAAAAATCATGCTAAAAATGAGGACAGAGATGCTTGTACAGCCCTTCTGGAAGCATTGCTGATCACATAAAAGGTTTTTCTCCATTAGAAGAGCTTTGTTATTGTTAGACAAAAGGAAGCCAGACAAAATGCCAACTTTCTAGAGTGAAAGATTTAACAACCTCATGGCATGGTCACATCAGGTGGTTTTTAGTAATTTAAACTAATATTGTAAACAAAAAAATGACTCCAAATGCCAAAACTTGTCTAGTCTGGATGATGAGAACTTCAGCTATGGAAATAAAGATGTTTGTTGCATCTCATTTGTTAACAAGAAACTAGCTATTGACATTTAAGTTCATGTTTTGGCAGAATAAAAGAGGCATCATCTCAGCCCAGGAGAGAATACCAGCCCAAACCCCGCATGAGCCTGGATTTCACAACTGGTGACAATACTCAGCACAATGGAGGAATATCCCATGCCACCACACCCAAACCATCAGGTAACGGCAGTAGCAATTTGAGAAGAAAAGTCAACTCTGCCTGAAGTTTTGCTACAATACACAAGTTCCATGCTTTCTTCTAGAGATTAGTTCTTCCATAGTTAGGGAAAACAAGAATAAAGATAGTATACGAGAGACCTGTTTGAACCGTTGTTTCTTTGTAAAGTGTTCCCATCCCCAGGCAAGATAACAGGGATGGATCATTCACTGCTTTAAGTGTGTCTTTGAGTCAAAAATTTCCTTAGTCCTAGAAGCTCAAAGAGATGCTGCTGTACAAAATTCATCTTGAAATATGGATCTTTACAAAATAGGCATTTAGAAAACCAAAAGAACAACTGGAAGTTTTCCATGAAAATGCAAAACCCTGAACAACCCCAAAACCTCCATGACCTTATCCTGCTTTTTAAAACCAGTAATTACAACACCTGACAGTAAAAATCACTAAAAAGAAAAACAGAGCCATCTGAGTGATTTTCTTTGTCCAATTGGGAGCGGCACAAGTGAGATTAAGTGTTTATGTGACTGTGCATAATCATTATCTTAAAGAAGTATTTATTTCATATCAGCACATACTAAGAAAGTCTCATTATCTGTTTCTCACAGTAATGGTCTGTCACCAGGTGTTATGGTGAAGGCTGCCCTCTGTCCGTACTATGACTTCAGTTACTCCAGTTTACCCCAGTGACAATTGCTAGCATGCTCCACCTCGCAAGACTGGATATTTTCCACTAGATCTTTAATCAGAATTTCTTTCCTTCCCATCACATCCTGATGTGAATCTTTGCTGTTCACCCAGATATAGGCAGCAACAGTGTCTCCATTTGGCACCTGCAGCCAGAAATTGTCTTGCATAATCTTGCAAACTCCTAGTAATGTCACTGTGCTACTGAGGAGGAAGATACAATGAGATTCCTTGTGCACGAGTGTGTCTTGAGTCTTGCATGCCACCAGTAATTTTCTTCTTCACTTCTTTTTTGTAGTGTCATGAACACTTGTCTGTGCCAAGGCAGTGCAGGCTGATGTTCTTGTGTCTCTTCAGCATTCGTGTTTTCCTCTTCAGAAAGCAGTATTTAGCGTTTTCTTCAACAGGAGTTCTTCCTTTTAAAAGTGTTTATTGGTCTCAGAGAAACACCTTCTTCTTTGGAAATTCCTTAATGTATGTTTGGGTTGGTTCATTCAAAGCTCTGATCTTCTATGGTCATTAGAGTTTATTTGCTAAGTCTTCTAAGTTTCAGCTGGTAGCAATGAGGGTACCAAACATGTGTTGTAAGGCTTTTTGATGTCAGCTAAATAGTCTTTACGAGAAATTAAGAAAAATACACGGTGAGTGACATGTAAAGAAATGAAAGAAGGTTTCACCACAGAATTTAATAAATTAAATCTGGTATTTGAAAAACTTGCTCTGTTGACATCTGTAGAAATGGGATATTTTGGTCCTAAAATAACTCAAGCATGGGCCTCCTAGCTGTAGTGGGTTGCTGAAATGAACATGCAAAAAGTTTGACTCTGAAACTTACTCGTCCTGAAGACAGCATACAGGAAAAAGCTGACGTGTGTATTCTTAGATGTGCCATTATGGTGGAGTGGCATGTGTCACTTCATTATGGGCACTGGAAGTGCATGAACTTTTACCATAGAAAGTCAAGTAGGAGTGTAAGATTCCTCACAATTTAGTGATGCTAAATCCTAAATATTTTGACTGGTAACAATTTTACTTTTGTTAGGCTTAAAGTTATAGAGACTTTGGGGGCGAGCGAGGATTAGGATAGGGGATGGGAGGAAATTTGTTAATTTCATATAACATATGAAAATCTAATCTAACTAATGACTTGTGACAATATCCCTTAGCCATCCTAAAGAGTTTATGGTCAGATGTTCATGAACTAGTGTCGTGGTTTTAGGCTGATCCAGCAACTAAAACTCACACAGTCTCTCCTTCTCCAGTAAAGTAGAGAGGAGAGAAAACAAAAACAAAGGGACTGAGGGTTGAGA